GGGCTGTGTTTCAGGAGCTCTCCAAAGCCATCCATATGCTTTGGTGGGGAGTGGGGGGTGGGGAGTGGTACCATTCTGCTGTCCAGAGTGCTGAAAATTCCTGTCATGCACAGTGACCTCATTCCTTCAGTGAATAGTGCTTCTGGCCCTTTCCACCTCCCTGCCAACATTACTTGACCTAACTTCTTGTCCGTTTTCCCCAGATATCCATCCCCCTCCACCAGTCCCACTCACTCCCTGTGCCCCAACTGTCCCTTAAAATCTTTACCCCATAACCGTCACCCAAAAACAGTCCCTCGTGGTCTCTGTCTCCCATGTCTTGTCAGTTAGACTGTCAGACATAGAAGTGCCCACGTAAGGAGCACCTGAAAGTATACAGGGACCGTTGGAGTTGTCACATAGCTCGAGGGTAGTACTGGGTTCGTCAGGTTGAAAGTCCTACACAACAGATAACCGATCTACCTGAGATGCCAATAACATCTTTGAGAAATGATGTACATTACTTTATTTTTTTTTAAGATTTTATTTATTTATTTGACAGAGAGAGACACAGAGAGAGAGGGAACACAAGCAGGGGGGTGGGAAAGGGAGAAGCAGGCTTCCCACTGAGCAGGGAGCCCGGATGTACATCACTTTAACTGAAAGGAGAAACTGAGGCCAAGGGGGCAGGGACTTAGCTAAGGTCACTTAGCCTGCCAGCCAGAGACAAAACCACAGCTAGAAGAGCAACCCCCCTCTTCTCACAGCCAGGCTTCCGAACCGCTTAGATGACTGCCTGAACCAGGAGCTCTCATCAGAAAGGGGTTGGCATCTGAAAGAGGGACAGGCCATGGTAATTGGGGCTTTTGACAGGACAGGGGCACTTAGGGGGAAGAGGCCTGGCACACTGTGGGAAATAGGGAGCAGCATTCCCAGGCCACAGAGCCCTGCACGAGAGGACCCTGCTTGCATCCTTCAGACCCTAATGCCCCTGGCAGGCCACACCACACACCACCGGCATTGATCTTTGGCAGGGAGGGGCACTTGGGTTGCTGTGGCAACAGGCACGGACCTCACTGCATCCAGTTCTGAGATTCTGGTCCGGCCGCCTGCCCTCAGATTTTGCGTGCCCATCCTCCCATGGTTTCCAGGTTGGGGAGGGGGGGGACTCTTCTGTCTTACTCTGTCTTACTCTCTCCTGTCCAAAGCTGTGCTTGAGGGCACAGTGTCCTCATTAGCAAGCTCCCCCGAAGAGCTGGGCACATCTGTCTTCCAGGCCTCTGGTACCTGGAGTCTGCAGCCAAAACCTCATCTCCAGGCATGACTGAGTTCCCAGAGGGGAGGCCCCTTCCATCACCACATCCCACAGCTCAGACCCTGCTTTCCAAGGTGTTGGCAGATCTGAGTTTGTTTGTTGCATCCAATATGTACTTCATAGCTAATTCCTGCGGGAGACCCGGGGACCCCCATATGGTCTCTGCCTACCTGTCTGTCCCCAGGGAGCTTAAGTTCAGTAAGCAAAGAAAAAAAAAAAGGATCAGGTCCAAAAAGGTGAAACCCTTAGTGAATTATGGCAAATGCTCTAAACTTGATGTTTGGTTTTCAAACTACAGGTCAGAGCACCATAGTGGATGGTGAAGTCAAATTCGAGAGTCATGACCAGCATTTGTATAGAAAATAAATAGAATTCATTAGAATAGAAGAGGAGGAAGAATATCATAGCTGTGGTCAAGATGAATTTTGCTTTGTGAAACTGGCCTCACTAATGTAGGGCATGTGTGGGCTGGAGGTGGGGGTGTGGATGGGCTGGATGTGACGGCACAGGGATGTGTTGGTGGGGCTCAAGGACAGTCGAATGTGAAGGCCCATGTTTTGAGAGATGGCAAGGCCTAGAGGAGGCATTTAGAGGAAAAAAAAAGATGGCTTGAATGCCTGGGCTGCTGGGGAAGCCTGCGGGAGGAGAGGGTGCTTGACCTATGGTTTAGAAGATAGGAAGGGGTTTGTCAGTGAGAGTGAGGAGGGTGTTTCAGGGTGGGGGGGTTCGGCACAGAGCCAGCTATATGCCAGGCCCACCAAGGCAAATGCCAAGTGCTATGTGGAGTGGTGGCAGAGGGGGGTGGCTTCCAGAAAAGAAAGCCAGGATAGAGAAGTCATAAAATTTGGCACCCCTGATAGGCATTGATGTAAGGGACCAGGAAGGTCTCAGATTTGCAGCATCTCTACCATGACTCCCTCCCTCCTCAGGCCTACCCCCATGCTTATTACCATCATGAGATATCACACTTAGGAAAGTATTCTGAGTTCCTGTCTTTGGTTAGCCCCACAACGATCAGGCAGACCAGACTCGCACTCCAAAACAACTTAGGCCAGGGTATGAGCAAGGGATGAAGTATGAGGCTCAGGCTCATGGGACTCTTGGGTGGGGTGGAGTCGGGGACTCAGAAGAGAGAAATCTGTGAGATGGGAGCAATCAAAGAGGCCTTCCTGGAGGAAAGGGCTTAGCACTGAACTCCAGGAAAGCTGGATAACATCTATGAACACATCCTTAGAAGATAAATGTTCTGACCTTTGAACCAGAGCCAGGGAGGGTCAGGACCTGTCTCACCTCAGACAAGCTGGTTGAGAAAGACCCCAAACCCTTATCTGTAAAGGATTATTCATTTTACAAAAGGACCAGCCCTCCCCCAGATACCTTTACATAGGTCTATTTGACTCACCCCGCACTCTGACCTTCAGTTCAGTAACATCACTAACCCTATGCATTGGGTTCTCTTTACTGTAGAAATTTCTCTTTCTGTAGTAAAACAGCCCTGAGGAAGGAGAAAACCCAAGAGTGGATGTGGGTGCCACATTTAGGGGTAAGGGGCTGGTGTCCTCACTTTGGGGTCAAGATCATCTCGACTCCAACCAGGGCCAGGGCGGCAACCTTAGGCCAGTAACAGCCCTGAGCCTGAAGACTCTCTGAGCTCAGAGCACCAAATTAAAAAACAATTAAGCTAATAGATTCTCCCCATTGTTTCTGCTCCTCAACAAGTGCTCCCTGAACCCCACTGCTTTGAACTCACTATCAGCTCAACAGAAGTGGTTTTTTTTAAGTAACTTAATTATTTCAGAACTCATTGTTTCCAGAAGCAATCTGTTTCCCCCTCCAGCTCTATGACTCTCTGCTCTGGGAGCTACTTATTTTAATTAGCTTTGTAGTATATATCTGACAGCAACCCAAAAGAAAAATCCACACATAACTGCCCATTAGCCAGAGAGCTGAAAAAACCAGCATAAGTCACCCCCAAACCACAGATCACTCAGAATTTGTAAGGAAGTAGGGGAGATCACTTTCACGTTCATGGGGCAAAGCAGAGGCTGGCAAAGGGCTCTGGCGTTCTCAGGTGGGAGGTTCGTCCTGGCTGGAGGTTGAGTGTGGGCTACCTGGAGGTGGTGGCTTGGGGGTTAGGACTTACAGTCAAGCTCAGTTTTCAAGAAAGATGAAAGATGCTCAGGAAAGATGAGCATTCTCTGATCTTCCTGCGTTCCCCCAGGATGGAGCCTGCACTTGTGGCCATCAGACACTGGTGCTCTGAAGAGTCTGGGCAGACTCCTGTCAGACACCAAGAGATCTCACACAGTGCTCTCGCAGGCAGCCACAGCTCAAGGTCGGCAACACAGGTGTCCCTCGTTCCTGTGTCCCACTGCTTGGTAGCAAGGGGTTTAGAACGTGCAACCTGAAGCCAGACCTTCTGGATTTGAATCCTGGCTCTACCCCTTCTCATTTCTACAGCTTTTGACAAGTAGGTTAATCTTTTTGTGCCTTAGTTTCCCCTTCTGTAAAATGGGTTACCATTACTCATGGGGTTGCTGGGAGGATTGAAGGGATGAGTGTATCAAGATCGGTCTGGTGAGTGACCACTCTGTGAAGGGTACCTGGTGTTAAACAGAACTGCTGCTGGGAATTAGTACGGATCGCCTGCGTATAAAGTGATAGAAAACAGGCACCTGGGCGGCTTAGTCGGTTAGGCAGCTGCCTTCACCTCAGGTCATGATCCCAGGGTGCTGCGATCAAGTCCTGCATCAGGCTCCTGCTCAGCAGTGAGCCTGCTTCTCCCTTTCCCTCTGCTGCTCCTCCTGCTCGTGTGCTCTCTCACTCTCTGTCAAATAAAATAAACAAAATATTTTAAAAATAATAAAAATAAATAAACAAAATAAATAATAATAAGTAAAATAAATAAAATAAAAAATAAAATAAAATAAATAATAAAAAATAATAATAAATAAAATAAAATAAAAAATAATAAATAAAATAATAAATAAAAAATAAATAATAAATAAAATTTAAAAGTTAAATAAAATAAAAATAATAAATAATAAATAATAATAAATAAAATAATAAATAATAAATAAATAAAATAATAATAATAAAATAATAAATAAGTAAATAAATAAATAAATAAATAAAAATAAATAAAAAATAAAATAATGGGAATTTGGTGTGTGGCAAGCAGCAAATCTGCAGGCACAACAGGGCTCCCTGACTGGGGAGGAGTCAGGTTCCATTCCAAACAAAATTAAATAAGGTATAGAAAACGCTAATCAAAGATTATATAAAAAATGGATCTTATTCTGCATTTTAGCTACCATGTGTGGTAAGCCTTTTGCACAATTTTCACCTAAATGACTTTCCTGTGAACTTTTATTTTTTTAAAAAATATTTTATTTATTTGACAGACAGAAATCACAAGTAGGCAGAGAGGCAGGCAGAGAGAGGGAGGGAAGCAGGCTCCCCGCCAAGCAGAGAGCCCGATGTGGGGCTCGATCCCAACAGCCTGGGATCATGACCCAAGCCGAAGGCAGAAGCTTAACCCACTGAGCCACCCAGGCGCCCCTCCTGTGAACTTTTAAACGTGTGTTGTGTTTCCTGACCTAGAGAGGCTGAGAAGTATGAACCTTATCCCATGGGCACCTGGGAGCCAAGGAGTGTTCTTGAGGAAAGGAGTGACCTGCCTCTTGGTGGTTGGCATATTTTGTAGGGAATGCCTATCGAGAGTGCTTGGAGAATGGGACGTGGGCTTCACGGATCAACTACTCACAGTGTGAGCCCATTTTGGATGATAAGGTGAGTGGCCCCCACCTTGCACACCCCTCATCCCTCTACAGGTATCAGGACTCAGGTTGACCACAGAGCATCCAAAGGGTGACAGAACCAGCCCTTATGCAACCCAGCCATACCTTTTTGTGCTTCTTCCCCCTGCCTCCACGTCCTGTTCCCTGCTTAGTGATGCTACAGGAAAGAAGGGGGACATAGACCTCCACCTTTGGGAGAGCTCTGGCTGGCAGAGGACACAACCATCTCTGGAATGTGACATAAGAAGGGAATGACATTGTGACCCATGTCCCAAACATCTAACAGACTGTGTGACTTCCTTCCTCCTCCTCTGTGCCTCAGTTTCCCCATCTAGCATTCTGATTCTGTGGCTCCATCTGGAAACAAGCACTGCCTCTGGAAGGCTGGGCCCCAAGGGGATCTGGGTCCTGCTCACACCTCAGCAGCCCCCTTGCTCTGGAATTGGGCTCCAGGCTGCTGCAGTGCCGACCTCCTCCCCTTTGAAGCTACACCTCGCTCCTGACCCAAAAGGACACGTCCCATGGCCACCCCCCTCCACATTCACCATTATAGCCCCCAGTGAGTCTGCAACTTTCCCCAAGAAGTCCAGGTTCAGAGGGAAAAGGTTGAACTACCCTGAGAAAGGGATGCTACAAAATGTGAGCCAAAGGGGGTCTGTGGTGGGGCCATGGGAGAGGCAAGTGAGATGGGTCATAAAGAAGGAGACTCCCCCCAGACCTCTGTCCTCTCTCAGCCCCTGTGAGCAGTGGCAAACCATGGTGGGCGTGGGGTCAGGGGAGCCTGCCCTGGAAAGAAGGAGTATTTTACCTGCCTCTTTTTAGAATTGCCAGCACATAGTGATCATAAAAAGGAGACGGGCTTTTATTTGGTGTTAATATTGTTCTTAAGTTCTCTACGGACATTGCGCCCACTTGTTGCTGCATCAGGGACAGACCGATCGCAGGGCACCCTCCAGACCTCCCCGAGCCTGCTGCTTCTGAGGCAGGAGGGCAGGATGGCCCCATTATACAGATGTCAAAACTGAGGTCCGGAGATATAAATCCACTCGCCCTCAGTCACTCAGCCAGCAAGGGTCTGAGCTGAGATTAAACACAGCTGGGGCAACTCCCAGTCCAGAGTTAAAAAGATAATAAAATCCCGAGATATCATGTCAGGCATATTCTGGGAAACATCAGGGGGTCTGACTGCAGCCATTTGTCTGTCTGTACCAAGAGCCACCCGCGGCCAACAGGAGTGAGCGCTAGGAGCCAGATGTGGTGATGACACTTGAAGCCATTTCTGCCTCCAAGCTCAGGACACACAGTGGGGGCATAGCTGGAGTGGCCAGCTCCAGCCTCTGTGTGCCCCATGCCTCCATCTGCCTGTGTGTCTGTCTGTCCAGCAGAGGAAGTACGACCTGCACTACCGTGTCGCCCTCGTTGTCAACTACCTGGGTCACTGTGTTTCTGTGGCCGCCCTTGTGGCTGCCTTCCTGCTTTTCCTGGCCCTGCGGTGAGTTCCCCAACCCCCCTCATGGCCTGCTGCTTTTCCCTGCCCCTTCCCCCATAGCGCCCCCGTCACCCCTCCCAGACAGTCTCGCCTCCACTTGGCAGGGTGGGGCAGGGCCATGAACCCAGTGGACAGAGGGGTCTGGGGGAGGTGCCAGGGCTGGCTCAGAGAGATCCCACTGCGGCCACCACAGGGGGAATGTATTTCCTGGGGCAGCCCTGCCTTCATCGGAGGCTGAGTCTCTTACCTGGCCTGGAGGATGGGGAGCGGGGGGTGCCAGTCCCAGTTGTTTCATGACCCCAGGCAGAGCCCTGATCATCTCACTCCCAATCCTGCCTGACCCCCTACCTCCCACAGGAGCATCCGCTGTCTGCGGAATGTGATTCATTGGAATTTGATCACCACCTTTATCCTGCGCAACGTCACGTGGTTCCTGCTGCAGCTCATTGACCACGAAGTGCATGAGAGCAATGAGGTCACCAGGCTGACCCTTGGGGCTGGGGGGCTCTCTTACCCAGTCCTCAGGTGGAGACCCGCACATGAGCTCACATCTACCCTGATCATTGTCCCTCCTGAGCTGGGGCCAGAGTCAGGGCTGGCTAGCGGTGGCGCAGGGGGTGCTGCTGGGCCGGGGTCTTGGGAGCAGTGCAAACCTCAAACCAGACTGGGTTAGCCTCTTCCGCTCCCCATCTTCTAAATCTAGGACCTCCCAAAGACCCCTTAGAGAAGAAGCAGCTAGAACTAAGCTCCATTGAACTTTATCTCGATTGCAATGAGAGACCTGTCGGGGTTATTTTCCCCATTATACAGACATGGAAAGTGAGGCTCGGGGAGGTTACATGACCCTGTGATGCCAGCAGGATCTTGACCAGGGCATCCCATGTGTTAGCTACACAGGCTGGAGTTGTGCCAATGGCTGCTGTGCTCTGTCCAAGTCACTGCAAAATCCAAGACTAACCCAAGGCCAAGCACAGAGTCCTGTGGCACACCATTAAAGACTTCTCGATACATTTTCTTTGGACGGTGGACCTGAGCAGGCACCCCACCTGGTTTGACCTTTCACTTGCCCCTCATTAAGCTCTGCCTCGGCACTCACTGAGTTCAACCCAATCTGGGGGACCCTGTAGCCACATACTAACTTGTACTGATAAGATGTCACTTGACTTGGAGAAAAAGCAGGGTTGGGAGGAGGTGACCTTTAGCTTCCCACCTCAGCAGGCCTTTTTGAGAAGAGGAGACAGACAACCATGTGGGGCCTGAGATCAGGTCTAGGGCCCTGCGGGAAAGACACAGAGGCAGACAACAGCTCAGCCCAGGACTGCTGACCGCTGGTGCCCTCAGAGCTGGACAGAGAAGGCGTGTGGTGTCTGCAGGGCAGAGAACTCCCATCATGGGGCTTTCCTGGCCACCGTTCTCCAGATCTCAACCTCGGCCTGAGGTTGCCCTGGGGAAGAAGCCTAGGGAAAGATGGCTAGGTCAGGAGGCCTGGGAGCTGGCCATGGCTGGCTGCGGCCCTGGACAAGCTTTTCTCTGCCTGCACCCCTATCTCCCCTCTGCAGGGTACTTGGGAGGGTGGGTAGCCCTGCTCAAAGGGACAGGGACAAAGGCAAATGGCAACAACCCTCATTTCTTGGTGCCCAGCCTGCATCTCCTTGACCCGCCCTGTTAGGTGCCATTAGCAGTTTCTCCGTGTCCCAGGGAGGCTCAGAGGGGCACGGCAGCCTGCCCTGGAGATGGTGAGTCTCCACCTAGAGCCAGCTGTGATCATCCTAAGCCCAGAATCTTCCAAATCCGGAGATTTTGGAGAATCACCTCGATGGCTGCAGCTCTCCTCATAACCCAGCACTATTATTTATGCAACAACTTTCTTTTAATTGACTCACTACTTTTTTTCTACGTGAGATTTCCTATTTCATCCCTAAATGGAAACCTTGCTATGGCTCAAAGATGACTCTTGAAAAACTGACCGTGGAAACAGCAGTATTGTTCAGTCCTAGCCTCTGCCTGCAGAAAGCCCAGAGCCAGACTCCCTCGTTCTTTATGAAAACGAGATCAGAAAGTGCGGGGGGAGCAGCCCAAGAAGGGACCAGTGCCAGCTGCCCCCTTAACTTCACCCCAAACAGGGAGACAGAGTTAGGGGGCACGTGAAGCTTCCCAAAGCCAGGTTAGAGGGTCTAGAATGCATGTCCATGAGGTAACTCTGGGCGGTGCCTGCACTGTGCACTGGGCCCTGGCCCTAGGCAGCCCCTGACCACCACCTGCCCCGTGCAGGTCTGGTGCCGCTGCGTCACCACTGTCTTCAACTACTTCGTGGTGACCAACTTCTTCTGGATGTTCGTCGAGGGCTGCTACCTGCACACGGCCATCGTCATGACCTACTCCACCGAGCGCCTGCGCAAGTGGCTCTTCCTCTTCATCGGATGGTGTGAGGGTCCCTGGGGGTCACGGGGCCTAGTGGGGAGGGGGCAGTGCTGACAAGGTCACCTCCTTTCATCTTGGGTCTGAGGACAGGGGCACACCCCTGCCCGCCATCCCCAGGACAGTCTAGGGAGGCAGCCACTCCCTTCCCTTGCTGGTGGGGAAGAAGCAAGCAGTCGCTCCAACAGAACACTTTACAAACACCCCTCCTCTCTTTGCCTGGGAAGACGAAGCCAAAGACTAGGTCTCTGGCTTCGAGAAAGAAGCTGACCAGCTCCACTTCTCTATCAAATGGTCTCAGAAAACTGTGCCATCCCTTCATTTGTCTGACCCACTTAGAGGGGGTTGCTGAGAGAGGAGAAGGGGGGTCAGGATGGTGCCATGGATGGCCTGCAGTTGGGTGATTGGTCCCAGGCCCCTGTGGTCCCCTCACCCTGTGCTCTACAATGTCTACCATAGCCTGTGTCTGTCCTTCTTTCAGGTATCCCCTGCCCTATCATTGCTGCCTGGGCCATTGGCAAGCTCTACTATGAAAACGAACAGTAAGTGGGACCGGCCAGTGCAGGGGTCAGAGGGGGTGTCAGGAAAGGTCAAGCCAGGGCTCCAGCCTAGCCATGGGGCAGGATTTGAAGCCCTACGAGGACAGATTGACTTTCCCATTGTCCCTATATTGAGAAAATATCCCTGGCACCCCGAGATACTGGTGTACTGGGTGTCATGAGTTAGGAATCATGAGTCTTTCAAATGCCCTAATGCATAACCCCCTTAGCCTTCAGTAAGGTTTCCTCCTCAGAGCAGCATGTCTGGCCCAGGAAATACAGAGGAGGCCACGGGCTAGAGGCCGTCAGCCTTGAGCACATCCAAGGGTGTCCATGAGCCTTTCACAGAACCCTGGGCCAGAGCAGGAGCACTTGTTTTATTCTGGAATCCCTGTCCCTGCCTGGAGTACAGTGTCCCATCCTGTGACCCTCCCTGCTCTGGAGCTGTTGGTATATAAGCCACACCCAGATGATGGCAATTCTGGCCATGGGTCAGCCAAGCAGAAGCTGGGAAGTTGGATGTCACCAGCTGAAACAAGAGGGGACAAGGGAATGTCAGTCTCTGGACACAAATCCCTAAGAGGTCTCTGAAGCTGGAGATTGGGGGGCAGGGGCAGAACCGGAGTGGACTCCAAGAGCTCAGCTTTGGGAAGAGTTCCTAATGATTAAAACTACCCAAGAATAAGAAGGCCACCATGTAAGGTAGTGAGCTTCCTGTCAAAAGGGGTGTTAAAGCAAAGACCAAAACCCTAGCGCTGGGAGGCGCCAAGGAGTTTCCTGTCTAAGGCAGGGTGCACTGAATGACCTCTAAAGTTTGGGAGGACACAGTCAGAATTTCCCGAAGTCCATGTGGCCCTTCCTGAGGTCTAGTGGGAGTGACTGACAGAGCCAGACTGCATCCCAGCCCCATGGCTCCCCTGGACTCCTAGCTTCTACACCTACCCGCATCCCCCGAGAATAACCAAGCCTCTGCTAGCGACAGGCTCCCTTCACCGGGTTAACCAAGCCTCTGCTAGTGACAGGCTCCCTTCACCGGTTGAATAAGGCTCAGCTCAGAGAAAGGCCGGGGTTCAGGGCTGGAGAAGCCGTCCGCCTCTCCACCTGCTGCTTTGTGCGGCTCAGTGCCTGGCACATGGAGCGGCAGGTTCCAAGGAATACAGGAACAGGTGCTACAGGGTGCTTGGGCCCTGGGCCAGCAAGGGGGAGCCCAGCTCTGCTTTCATTCATTAGCCTCCTGTCTGCCCAGTACTGGGTACACATCTACAGTCTGGAACGGGGTAGGGGAGTGAGAAGGAGGGTGATGAGACCCAGGGCCTGCCCTCAGTCCAGCTGGGGAGACCAGACCCTCCATGGAGGGCAAAAGGCAGCCCACGGGTGAGCCGGGATGGTCAGACGGGCCAGGGCCATCCACCTAGGCATTTGGGGAAGACAAAGCCCTAGAGACTGGGTCTCAGGAAGGGTCAAGCCAGAGAACCTTGGGCCCAACTCTATGGTGGCCAGACCGGAACTGAGCAGGTTACTTAGAGCCTCCCCATCTTTGCAGGTGCTGGTTTGGCAAGGAGCCCGGTGACCTGGTGGACTATATTTACCAAGGCCCCATCATCCTTGTGCTCCTGGTAGGTCCTCAGTAGGGACCGGGATGGGGCCGGGCACTGGGAGGGCAGCAGAGGACACCCGGCAGAGATGCTGGGGAAGAATGTGGCCTGGAGTGGCCGTCCTGCACACCCACTGTACACACCACCCTACTTCCTGGCACGCACCTCCCCCCACCCCACTATCTGATTGGTCTGACTGGCAGATTTCTAGTGCCTTCTACATCTGACGTCCCCTTGCCAGGTACTGAGACAGCCAGGCGAGGGGGCAGCTATTAATGGCAAGAGAAGGGTGTGCGGACTTCTGTTCAGCCCAGACCTACCCCCTTCTGCCCCCAGCAGCCCCCTCTGGAGGCCAGCCCACCGCCCCCAGCCTGGAACAGTGGTACTAGAATGAAACGTAATGAGCAATTGTTCCTTGTCCAGCTCCCGACCCTTTGGCAAATGTATTCGCATTTAAGGTATAATTGCTACCACGTCTTTAATCCACAACGAGCTTTAATTAAGGTGGAGTTTAAGTAGAGGCTGTATTCTGCAAAAATGAACCCATTATATATTATACATTTTAAAAAAGAGACATGCAAAAAAGCCCCATAAGAAATTGGCATTTACGTAAGACTTATTTCAGGCTTGGTAATTTCAGGCTCCTGTACGCACCAGCTTCCTTAAAGGGCCACCCGCCTCTTGTGGAACACATAGGGGAGAGAGAGAAAGAGAGAGAGAGGAGAGAGAGAGAGCAGGTGCCTACTGGGGGTTCTGTGGTCTACCCTGGAGATAGTCCCCATTATCTCTTTCATTTCCCAACTCCTCCTTTTTGTGACTTCTTCAGGGATTCCTTTGTCCCCCATCTTTGGAGTGCCCTTGTTGTATATGACCTGGAGATGACTAGGGAGGTTTTCTACCCACTGCCTGAAATTCCACCATCAGAAATTCCACCTTATTTCAGAGGCAGAAGCCAGTCCTTGTTGGCGAGGAAAGGGTTGGGGATGGGAGGGGGTGATTGTCCTTGGAGTCCCAGCTGCAGTGAGTCACTCGTCCCCACCCTCAGTGTGAACGGAAACCCCTTGAGACCCATCCCCTCCCAGCCAGCTGCTCAGAGCCCATCCTGGAGGGATAGGGCTTTTCGTGAATCTGGGGCTCCCCCCAAGAAGGCTGGCCTGGGTCAGGCTTTGGTGATAGTGGGGAGGGAGCCCCCCGGCTGCAAGGATGTTGGGCAGCGTGAGAAAATGAACAGAAAAAGGGAGATGGGGATGGGGGGACCCCATGTTAGCCCCCTCTCCCTGCCTGCTCCTCCCTGACCCTTTCTCTGCTTCCACCCCCACCTCTTGGCCCAAGAGCCCTTTGCATCTCCCTTTGGGCCCTTACGGAGCTTCCCATTCCCCCCCAAGCCTGTCCAGGAGCTTCATCTTCGTAACTTCCAAATCTTGCATCATCCGTGGCTGGAAATGGGAATTATGATCCCCATTTTACAGCTAGAGAAACAGAGAGATGAAACCTCCTGCCCAAGGTCACCACTAATAGCTTGCTGAGCTGAGACACAAGGGCTGGTCACTCACCCCTGCCTGTCCTCCGGGTTGGGTATGTGCTCAGTACCTTGCCAGCCCTGCCCTCTCCTGATGGTTCATGGCTGCCTTGCTGCTGCTGAAAGACATGACCAAGCTTATTTCTGGGTTCTGGGAAGTGAACTGGCTGGTTCAGTTTGCAGGAGGCTGTTGTCATGAGAAAGGTGTGTGACGCTGGGTTCCACCCAGGCATGGGGCTCAGGGCTCTCCATGAGTATTTTAACCCATGCTGACCTTCCAAGACAGGCTCTCTGGTGTCCCTTTTGGGCCAGTGAGGACACAGAAGCTCAGGCAGCTTAATGAAGCCACTTACTTGCCCAAGACCACTTGGGCGCCAGAATTAGAGCCATGTAACAAGAACTTGGTGCCAGGCATTCATTTAGGAGGTGATCCCGGGAAGCACTGCGACAGGTGGGAGGAGAAGAAAAGGTGGGGAGGAAGTCTAGGTGAGGTGATGAGCCAGCTTCCATGGGGACAACCATGTGGAAGAGCATCAGAAGGATACCCCACTGAAGGCTTGGAAGCTGGGTTATTTCACACACTTCCTGCCTTGTCCATGGAGGTGGCTCTGGGGACATGAAACCTGCATATTTCCAGGTCCTTCTGTGGTGAGGCTGAGCTAGCTCCCCAGGCACCAGAGGAAGCCTGAGGCTGAGAAGTATCCCCGGCAGCAGCAGGGGACTCCCGGCTGGGCTCCTCCAGGGCACGGAGCATTGGGTCTGTCTGTAAAGTCTCCTCATTCCCTGCTCCTTCCAGCAATGTCCCAGCAGCCCCTGTGCCACATGCAAATTCCAGGGTCCCCCGCCTTCCCCTGGGAATGTCTGGAGTGGGCCCAAGATCTGCATTCAGACGGAGGGCCCCGGGAGACTTGGCTGTGCACACTCAAGATGGAGAACTTGATGGGCGTTGTCTGGGTTTTCTCTGTAGGCCAGCCAGGGCCCTGTGCGATAGGACCCTAGGCGTGGGCCTTTGAGGCTACACCTGCCTAGAGTGCGCCGACAGGAGGAGAAAGCTGAGGCACCCAGTGAGGACCAGGCCCCCATGGCCCAGGAAACAGACGGGTCTCCAGGCTTCTGGAGGCATCTGGTGAAGTCACTGGGCTCCACAGATGCGCGTGGCCCAGACAGGCCGGCCGTGTTTAACTGCCCTGGCAAATGGGCAGTCCGGAAGCTGAGAGCAGGGGAGCAGTGAGAGGAGGGTCCTGAGCTGCGTTGGGAGCACCCCAATAAACCTCCAGTACCCAGAACTGGAGGGAGCAAGGGATATCTCCGAGGCAGGGAACCATGTCTGAAGTCCAGGAGGTGGAAACGTCAGTCTGCTTTCCGCCTCCCTCCCTGTGCACAAGCGACAGTGAAGTTCAAGGAGGGTCTCCCATGAGCATCCTTACCATCTGGAGAAGTAGCTGGGGTGGGGGTGGGGGGATCCCAGGATGCTCTGCACTGATGAGCTATAGGTCTCTTTACTTTCTCTGCCTTTGTGGCAGGCGCTATGCTGTGGGGTATCCTAGGACAAGTCCTGGTCGCGGCCTCCTGGGATTTGTGACCATGAAGGACCTCCTCGCTTGGAGCCTCAGTTTCTCACCTCTAACATGATGATGCCAGTCCCTGCTTCATGGGGTCACTGGGAGGACCCATGGTAGCCCTTGGGCCCCGCCTCCAGCAGGTCCTCCTCACACCCGGAGCCTCGGGTCTGGCTCCTGTGCTGATGGGCCTTGCAGTGCTCTCCTGACCTCCAATCTCCCATCCCTGGCAGTGTGGCCAGTACCTTACCTCTGCTTGCTTCCATCTGGCCCAGAGTTCATTAACTCCTGCAGGAGCAGGAACACGACACAGAGGTCGGGGGAGGATGCTGAGGCCGGCTGCCTTGGTTCAAATCCTGACACCAATGTGTCCTTTGTGGCACGGGCAAATGATGGAGCCTATCTGAACCTCAGTTTGTACATCTGTAAAATGGCTATAATGATCACATCTATTATATAAGGCTGGGCTTGTGTAGTGCTTGGAACAAAACCTAGAATGATCTGTGTCCTGGGCCACATTAGGGAGCAGTAAGCCTCCCTTGTCTGTCCTGGCAGCAACCATAATGTCCAGATCTCCATTCTGGGCCTGACAATGCACCACCGCCTCCCAGGCCGGAGCTCTGACCAGACTGGGGTGCTCCTCCCACGGAGCCTCATTAGGAATTAATGTGCCAGTGAGCATTGGAGTTCCAGGAAACACAGGGTGGGAGAAGGGCTAGACTTCATGGGGAGTTTCTCCAGGGGGTTTGACTTACCCTTTCACCCAGTACCTTCTCCCCTCGGCATTCCCAGAGCCCCTGACATGCAGGCTGCCCTAAGAACATTCTGGGCTGGGAGGGCCCTGCTGCTGCTGTTGTAGAAGGAGGAAGATTTTAATGCTCACCTCAGCCACAGTGGCTGCCAGCTGGCATATCTCCCCTATCCCAGGGCTTTCTCTCCTGGCCTTTCTCTGCCTGGAACCCAATCCCCCACAGTCCATCAGCCCTCAGCTCAAATGCCATTTCTCTAGGCCTTTCTGACCCCTTCCTCCAGGCCACAAGACTTCTAGGAGCAGGGACATGGCAAGTCAGCTCACAGAAGGAAGCAAGGAAAGAAGGAAGGAAGGAAGGAAGGAAGGAAAGAAGGAAGGAAGGAAGGAAGGAAGGAAGGAAGGAAGGAAGGAAGGAAAGAAGGATGGAAGGAAGGAAGCAAACAAACTAGGCTGGACAAGGCTAGGGTACAATAACCAGTGCTCACTCAAGAGCTGGGATTTGGGATGGGGAGAAGAGGGAGGTCCCAGAGTGGAGAGCTCAGTGTGGGCTGGGGGCCCAAGGCTCCCTGGAGGAGGCGCCCATGGAAGGATGAGGTGGAGAGGATCCTGTGAAGGGCATGGCTGGGGACCACACTCACAAAGAAAGAGGGACTTTCAGGCTTCACAGGCCCAGGGAGAGCTGGAATAGGGACAGCATCACCAACTGCCAGCCTCACATGAGTGGAGGGTATAAGGCTTGTGTCCCAGCTCCTCCGCACCAGACCCTGTCCCTGCTCTTGCCTCAGCACGTGGAATGGGACCCTGCAGCCGGGAGGTGAAGGCATTGTCGAGTAGGTGTTTAGGTGGATGGATGGATGGAAGGATGGATGGTTGCATGTAGGGAATGTGCCAGAAATGAGAATATATTTTCCCTCCAGGCCCCCAGAGCATCCTCCCACTTAGGGGTCCTGCAGAGGCCACAGGGCTGTCTGTCCCGGGGTGTCTCCCGGTGTCCCCCCATTCTCAGCCTGGGATCCAGAACTTAGGAGCCTCAAGAAGTGACGGATTCTTGGGACAGAGCCTCGGGAAACATGTGTGTGTGTGTGTCTGTGCATGCACACACACACACACGTACTCACACAGGTGCATACGTGTGAGCCAGCAGATGCTCTCTGACCCATGGGCACTTCCTCGGGAGAGACTCCCAAGGAAGGGAATCTCTCTTTCCTGTCTGCTCACGTTTGGAGATAGGTGTAGAGAAACCCTGGCATGCCCACATCCCCAGGTTCGCAGGCTCTCATATGCACACACTCACACAAGCACAGAGACAGACCCCGCCCCCCAGAAGTGTTTGGAGGGCAGCACACAGTCACGCAGACAAGCCGGTGCAGATGGATGGGACACTGGCAGGCCCACGGTGGCCATCCACAGCACGAGCCTGGCTAGGGTGGTCCAGGCAGGTCCTGGGAAAAGACTGGGTGCGTCAGCTCTGGCACCAACAAAAGGCTTGAAATGAAGATAAATGAAGCTCTTCCAGGAGCCCTGGAGCCAGCGCAGCAGCCCATTCATCTTCATTGCCTCAGATGTGCCTGGGAAGTGTTTTCCTGGGGGCAAGGGAGGGATGGTGAGGGATTAGTCACTCCCTCTGGCCAGGTCCATTCCCCCAGGGAAGCAGGGCCTCAGAGGGAACCCTCAATCGACAAGAGGGGGAGACCCTATAGCAGGCAGGGCAAGGGACTGGGGCAGAGGCCTGGCCAGCTCCTGTGGCTTCCCCAAGTGGGGCAGGTGTTGGGGGACTTTCTGAGGAGCTGTGCCTCAAGAGAAGTGACCTTGGTGTCCTTGGTCCCTGCCTCCAAAGCCGCTTTTCCCCCTGGGGTCTGGAGATGGAGAAGCCAGCCCCTCCGGGAAGGGGGAATTCTGCCCGTCCTGATGAGGGAGAAGCAGAGGCCTTGGGACCGCAGGCAGGCACTGGGGTGACGGGTGGGATGGATGTGGGCATGGGACATGGGGCTCAGTGGGTTATGGGGGGAAGTGGCTGCCTCTCAGTTCATTCCCTACCTCACGGTCCTTCCTTTTTTGCCTTCCCTCCCTCCAGATCAATTTTGTATTTCTTTTCAACATCGTCAGGATCCTCATGACAAAATTGAGAGCATCCACCACATCGGAGACAATCCAGTACAGGTGAATGACGGGTGTCTTAACCCCCCGAGGGCAGAAATGAGGCATCTAGGCCCGGCCCTCCAAACCCTCACAGGCCTCAGCCAGGGAGCTTGCTCGGCACCTGAGAGAGGGCCGGCTGGCAGTGTGGGCTCAGACCAGCTTTGTCGCCCTGTCACCCCCCTAGGAAGGCAGTAAAGGCCACCCTCGTTCTCCTGCCCCTCCTGGGCATCACCTACATGCTCTTCTTCGTCAACCCTGGGGAGGACGACCTGTCGCAGATCGTGTTCATCTATTTCAACTCCTTCCTGCAGTCGTTCCAGGTGGGGCATGAGACCAGATGGGACACCGGTGTCCTCACAGAGTCCTCACAAGAGACACGGTTCACACTGAAATACAACCCCAGCCCTGCGCCCTGGCAGCCCCACCCCAGGGGTCAGGTGGGCTTACACCCAACTGGGTCTCCATCACCCTAGCCTGTGGCCCAGTGCCTGTTCTGAGGGTTTCTGACAGCCTGTCACTCACGGCGAGCCCTGGGACACCCGTACCATGAGGGTGGGCTGCCCCTGAGCTCAGAGCCTCTGGGTCCAGGTATCCCCAGCTGTCCCTGCAGAGTTGCTCCCCAAGCAGGTCACTGATGCTCCCTCCTTCCTTTCCAGGGTTTCTTTGTGTCCGTCTTCTACTGCTTCTTCAATGGAGAGGTAGGAGGCCACGGTCCTCAGTTCCCAGCTCGGGGGAGCCACCCAGCCTTTAGGGAGGCCCGGGGTCCCTGACTCTGCTCAGCTCTGCCCTGGACAGGGGAGGGGATGGCTGGAGAAACCACCGAGATTTGGGAAACAGGAATCCTACCTGAGGGTCTCCAACCAGTTTAGAAGGTCCCCTTCACAAAGGCCAGCACTTCACAAAGGCGCTTAGATAGATGGGTGAGTGGGGAGCCCTGCCTTCAGGGTCTCACTGGAGACAGATGCCGGAACACCGCTGGTAATGGGGAGGCATTGCAGGAGTGAGTCAGGTGTGAGCTGCACATCCAGGCCCTTATGGACGCAGGGAGCAGGAGAGACACCAGCACATTCCCCCACCATGGAACAGATCACACAGCTTGGGGCCAACACCAGGGAACAAGGCACTGGGGACAGGCTGCTTAGCTCACATAGCCCAGAACCTCAGCATAAGCAGCTTGGGATAGAGGCTCACACCGGCCTGTGCTGGGTAGAGGACCCACAGTGGGTTATGGGGCCAAAAGTAGACACAGCCCCAGGTCCTGAGAGCTTCCAAACACTCAAGGTAAGTGCCATCCTGAGACACTTCCCCTGCCTCTGCAGAGTGCCACTCTCTGCCCGCCTGGGTCTCTGTCAATCAAAGCAGACCCCGACACAGGCAAGGCCAACAGTAGAGACTGGCCTGGGCTGGAGGGCAGGAGAAAGCTTTCAAAGAAAACGCACAGTGACTCTGGGGCATTTATTCTGGTCAGCCCTGTGCTAGGCTAGCATGTGGGGGACACCACCCATTTTGCAGAAAAATCCTTTAGTTCCAATACCAATGAGAATAATACGGTACCGGCCACGATCAGGTTTTGAAATGACTGGAACGGTTAGCTTGACTTTCTGTCTCAGCAGTGCACACTATGGGCTATGGCCAGTGAGGCAGGGGCTGTCCGCTGGGGGAGGAGGCTGGAGGAAGGGCTTTCAGGAGGGACAGGGATGCCAAGTATGTGGGGAGAGCGCACAGCTCTCCAGACGCCAGGAGAGCCAAAAGCAGATGTTCGAAGCTGGGGCTTGGGTCCCACCATAAAGAGGAGATGGCAGAGGGAGGGGGCAGGGAGGGCAGTGCGCCCCAGAGGGGTGAGCGGGGAGTTTCTCCAGGATGGGTGAGGACAGAGGGCAGGAGCTTCAGAGGCTAACGGCTTCAGGGGAAGGACCTGCTTTTGGAACCGGCCAGTGGTATGACAGTGGTGGTCGGGAGGGCACCCCAGCCTCCCTCCCTTTAAGGGCCCTGCAAGGGGTAGGAGCAGGAGAGAAGGCTCCTGGTTCTGGGATTGGCGCCTGCAGGCCCTGCTGAGCCGCTGCCTCCCCCACAGGTGCGCTCAGCTGTGAGGAAAAGGTGGCACCGCTGGCAGGACCATCACTCCCTCCGAGTGCCTGTGGCCCGGGCCATGTCCATCCCCACGTCGCCCACACGGATCAGCTTCCACAGCATCAAGCAGACGGCCGCCCTGTGAGCCCCCCGTCACCCCGCTCGCTCATCACTCACCATCAGGACAGCTTCCCTATCCCATGGGGTGCCTCTCTCTGGGTTCACTTCGCCATCTCTCAGCTCAGGCCCTGGTGGGGGCGCAAGGGAGGGGAGAGGTCAGCTGGCCGGCCCTGCTAGACGGGGGTGTGCAGCAGCAGGCAGCGCCAGAGGCTCTCAGGAGCCAGGTCCGCTAGGTACAATGTCTCAGTGCAGAGGGAGCAGAGGGATGTCACAGAGACACCTATCCCCGCAGAAGAGTGGGTCACATGTCTTCAGGCATTTGCCCACACCAGCCTCTCTCCCGGCATCCTCACTATAGCCCACTCACAGGCAAGGAAACAGGCCCAACACCATGAAGGGCCTGTCCAAGTCACGCAGCTCATTCATGGCAGAGCGGGGACTGCCCCCTCTGTGCGGGCTTTCCCACCAACAGCAGGGTAACGTCTGGCCTTGCTCCCTGCTCCCTGCCTTCTGCCTCCCAGAAGTGGAATGGGCAGGGCACAGCAGCTGGAAACAAGGAATTACTTTGGTTTCCTCCCAGCGGCTCTCACCTACACGCTACCCCAGAGCAGGCCATCTCTCTGCCCGGCCCCACCCATCCTCCTGTCCCTGGGTCCTGGAAGAGATGCTGCTTCCTGTCCCAGGAGAGCTTTTCTCAACCTAGTCCACAGACTCAGGGCCTTAGGCAGGGACACTAGAGGAGGAAGGTGAAGCTAGGATAACCCTACACTCTTAAGCCAACCAGATACGTAGTGCAGATGAAACGAGGAGGAGAAACATGGTGGCCGGGGGCAAGGAGTAGAAAACCAACTAGGTCTTTGGTGATTGGAACAAATCTCCCACCTCCCACTTTAGACTGGGCTTCGATTCAGCCTCCCCTTCAGAAACATCTTGGCTCTCTGTGAAATAAACCATGCCTCTGTGGAAACAGCCTCCCCTCAGGTCAAGTCAACCAGGCATACGAAGGGGTGCTGTGGCCAAGGATGGGGAGCTGGATCCATTCTCATTTGCAGAGCCCATGGCCCTGGCCTAGGGCTGGTTCTCCTCTCTGACCTGTGTGTCTGCCAGCCTGCCCCTTCCTTATTCCCCCAAGATAGTCTCTACCCCTCCTCTCCTACCAACAGCAGTTTAATTCAGCACAGAGGAGAGAGGGGCAGCTCACCCAGCACGCTACAGCTCTGTCCCAAAGCCAGTGTCTGAAATCCGGAAGCAGGTATAGACCACACCCCACAGTATCCATGAACAACACCACAGGACGTTTCCAGGAGAGGGTTCGAGGGGACAAGAGGAGGCAGGAGTCATCAGGTCGGGGTTCAAAAGAGCTTTTGCTCTAGGAATACCACCAACATATTTTTTTAAATAATTATCCCACCTTGCATATTCTTCAGCTCACATCTAATATTATTTAGATTTTTAAATTGGCGAGAGGTGATTTCTGGCTTTTGGCAAATATTTACATTTTAAAATAAAACTGCCAAAACACTTTAAAATACTTCACTAAGAATCCAAACACAGCCGTGATTTAATAGCCAGGCTCTTCTGTTTGAAAAAAACAAGCTAACCAGCTCTTCCTCAATAGCTGGACATTTTACATTGTCCCTTCTTTCTTGGAACTTGTATCTTCATTCCATTTCCCCCATAGGATTTTATACTAATGCAGTGTTTTTATGGGTTAAAGTCTTTCCTTGATCACCTTCTCCTACTTCTCTGCCACAAAATAAATTTGGAAATTGAAATAGAAATATTTAATTTTCGGTGACTAAAATTTGTGAGAGATTAAAAAAAGAAGTCTTCTGGATTGAGTTACCACAACTATTTTTGATATAAAATATAGGATAGAATTGATTAATACAACACAGACACTTAAAGTTTTTGTAAGGCAAATGTTAAACCTAAAAAGGAAAATCTATCGAAAGCACATCTTAATGGAACGGATAGGAATTTAATTGTTCATGAATCCGTGGGTGAATATTTATTGCTGGAATAAATCAGGACTCAGCATCTTTTCTTTCTTTTTCATTTTTATAGCTTCACATGCTGAGAATGAGAAGCCTTTTCACATAAATAAGTAGATATCAGGGTCCCTGACCTCCTTCTGAGACATATGCCCAAAACTGCATAGTGATCTATCATCAAAAATTATGTGTCAGCCCACCACTTAATTAAGTCCTCTTTAAATGTGGCTGAAAAAAATGAACTGAAAACCATTTGACTTGCCAAAGGCTTGGCTACCCCAGGCAGGCGCTCCTGCCATCCTTCACCAGGGGCAGCTGAGCGGGGGGAGGTTCATGGCTGGGCGCTGCACCTAAGGGACCTGCAGCCAGGCCCCCTGCTTTGCTTCTGTTGGTGGGAAGGGAGGGGGCTCCCTGACTCTGTGCTTTCTAGAGACACAGGACTAACTCTCGTGCGCCTTGTAAAGGCTCCCTGGTGCTCAGAGGCGGCGTACCGCTCTTGCATTAGCATCGTTGCTGGTGGAGCAAGGAGCTCAGTGCTCATCACAGCAGTGCCAGGCCCCGGCCCCTCATCGCTGCTCCTCAGGTGCGGCTCCTCGCCCCATGGCCCCAGTTCCCAGCAGGCAGAGCAGCCAAGTCACGAGCCTCTGCTCAGCAGGCACTGTGGCCTGTTCCGCTTCAGTTCAGAGGAGGCCCCTCGTTGGTCCTGCGCTGATTGACACGTATCCCCTCACTCCTGGGGCCCTCGGTCATGCCCCCAGCTGGGCCTCTGGCTATGAAATGCCAGCAGAGCCAGGAGGCCCTCTGTGGATCTCCCGCTGGGGAACCTCGTGAGGTTCCTCCCAGCCAAGCCAGGCCTCGTGAGCAGCTGCCTCAGCATGGACAGTCCCTCGCTGAGCGGGCTTTCCTGCAAAGAGGCCTTGTTGGCAGACGCTCCTCCTTAGGAGTCAGGTTCTGGCACCCAGACCCCTCAGGGCCCTTTCACTGCCCTCACTTATAAAGCTGAGGAGGGCTTGAGACCTCAAGGGGATTCCTCAGCCCAGCCTTCTGGCCCCACTCGCACCGAGCGGCCACAGAGCCCTGACCCTAGACTGCTCCAACCCCCTGGCCTGTACTCAAAGTGGTGCCCTGAGGTGCCCGCTGGAGTCTGAGCCTGTGGAAGGCAAGGAGGCCAACAGGTGTGGCAGGTGTGGGGCCTCTATGCCAGGGGCACGGAGCGTGAGATGTGTCCCTGCTGGAGGGTCTGTGGTGAAGGTTCCATCTGAGGCCTGAAGCCGCAAGCGCCCTGCTCTCCTGTGGATGAGGCTGACTAGCAGCAGAAGGAAAATGGACCTCGAGGGGGAAAAAAAGACTCACAAACCGACTACCAACATGTGGACATACGTAGCAGGAGACACACCGGGGCTCACAGATGTGGAAGCCAACACTCTGAGGGCCGCAGAGGGAAGCCCAGATGGACACCGAGACGCCTGGGGACACTCAGAGGGGCACCCCGCCACCAAATGCACAAGCGTCCATCAGCCAGAGTCGTGCCCCATTTACTGAGCACCACTGCGCACCACATAGGGAAGTAACAGCATGAGTAACACAAGGTTCCTGTTCCAAGAAACTCAGCATCCACTTGAGAAGAAATAGCCCCCCAAGGGCACCAGAGAAAGGCAGGAGGAAGGAGGTTCTCTGCGTCCCTACCTGGCTGGATCTGCCAGTGTCCGTTTCTGTCTGCTGCGGTGAGGAGAGGGTCAGGCCTAAGGACCGAAAACAAGTCAGGTTCTGCGGCTGGCACTTTCCTCAGCTCCCTGCATTTTCCACAGCTCTGAGACCATGCCTGTGGTGGCCTCAAGCCAGACAAGGTTTGGGGGACACAAGAACCTCTGCTGCCTTCCCCTAGTCCCTGCCCATTTCCCATAGTCCTGGGCAGCCTGGACTGCCACAGAGAAAGACAAAACTGGAAAAGGAGCCCAGTGTTTGCTGCTCTTTCTTCCAGAGCATCTTCAGAGCGTCATAGGCAGATGGGGTGCATGGGCAGTGAGGTGACTGGCTGGGAAGGGGGGCTGTCACTCAAAAGGTCGCCCCTTCACATGTCTGAGACTGACATAGGGTGTGCCTGGGGGGTGTAAGACACAAGGGGAGTCCTTTCCTCAAGTGACACTTCAGCCAGGATCTGGGAGAGGTGTGTGGAAAAGAGCTGTGCCTCCAGCCAGGGAGCCTGGCCAGGGGCTCTGAGAACACACATGACTGGCTCATCAGAACCAACAGGGTTGCTCTTTAAGAGCAGACTTTGGGAACCTTTTTCTCCAGACTAGGGAGGGATCTAGAAATCTACATGTTCACAAGCCCCTCAGGTGTTTTTGTTGCTCTCTGGTGCGGGAGCCACTGAACTGAACAAGAAACGTTTTGTCCCTTCTTTCCAACACAGACACACCACTACTACTACTACTACTACTACTACTACTACTACTACTACTATAGAAAGGGAAGGTGAGTGACCTGACCTGCCTTTCCGGAAACCTCTAAGAGAAGGCAGCTAGAGCAGGAAGAAAGAGGCAGGTACAAAACATGAAGTGTATTCAGCAATATGCTGATTATGGTTTCCAGCTCTGCCCCAGAAATTCCAGTAATTCTCCAGAGGAAGCCACCCCACTCAGAGATGTTAGTTAGCAGAAGGGATCGGCTGAGAGCACGCTGAGGTCCCTGCCCCATGCTGAATGAGTTTACCCCGGATACTGTTGGTAGGGATTTCTTTGCTCCGAGACTAAAACCCTCCCACAGAGCTACGGCATGCTTCCCGCCCCACAGAACCACCGCAGTGGACTCCATCTAGTGAATCCTGTCCATTCTACATGACCCAAGAGCCTCTCTTCCAGGAAGCCTTCCTACCAGCGTTGGTCAGACAAGTCCCACCTGGGAACCCATACAGCAGTCCATGCCAGGCTCCACTGCCGGGCTGGAATTGCTCAAGGCCTATGCTGCCACTTATGTCCACAAGAGCTCTGCACCCAGTAGGAGCTCTAGAAACAGTCATTGAATAAACTGGCCTTTCGCATTTGTTCCACCTCGAACTGGTAACTTATAGGCTAGAGTCCAGTACTAGCAGAATAGACCAAAAGTACAAAGAATCCCAGAGATCTATTAGCTTTACAGTGGGGGAAAATCCATTCTCCGGCTCCATACCCCACCACCACCAGAGCTGAGGGCCAGGCCAAGCCTGAGGGCATCCCTTCTCCATGTGCAAGCAGAAAATTGGAGGAGAGCCTCTCCATTCTTCCAAGACTCCCCTGCAGGTGTCCGCCTATTAATCTCACACCATGGAGCCCTATGCCTCAATGGGCACGGTCTTCCTACTGGGTGGAGGTAGGGGACCAGACCTGTGCCCCACTGTCTAGGGTTGAGCCCACAGTCCTGTCCCTGGGGAGTGGAAGCACTTCTC